CTCTACAGCATCTTAACATTTTAATATATGAAAACAGTTTGGAAACCCTAATTTTTGCTAAATTTTTAAAACTCTTTCTAAAAAAAAATATATTGCCGCGAGACTCAACATGATCGATTATCTATAATCCACCAGCTTTCAAGACTACCAATAGTCATCGAGTACCAGTTCTTGAACTAGCAAGGAATCCGATACAACTCCCAAGCCACAGAAAATCGAGATCTCGCTCAACTCCCGGTTTGAAGAGTAGACCCTAGGCTACCGGCTCATAAAAAAAATCAATACAATCCTATTGGAAAATGTTTACACACAACCTGGTTTTTCTTGTTGGCCAAACCGGTATGCTGAGATGCTGTAGAGTATTTTCGATGTTCGAGGACTCAGTTACATTGTTTTCACAATAGTCCAGGTAGCATTTTGTAGACCGTGAAATTCCTTATCGAATGATATATAATAGTTGAGTTTTTTGTGACACAAAAGAGGTGAAATAATGGAAATACTCTAAGTATAGTTGAACTTTCGAGCGCGAAAATTTTGTCAAGGAACATCAGAAAGCATTCTTTAAGATCTATAATGTATCAATTTTAATGTCGGAGAGAAACTACATAAAAGCCCTATATAGAATAATTATCTGAGAGGGGGCCGATTTGGCCGCTTATCGCCTCCCTTCTTCCCGAAAATATGTTTTCGGTGCAGCGAGTTTTCAAACTTTCTCAAAGCTTCAAGCTCGCACAAACGTTGCATAAATATTCTTCTATCTATACTACATCGATGGTTTTAAAAAAGTACATTTCTCTTGAAAGTATCAAAGATGACTAAGTAATGAGAACTACACAGTATAACCGCAGTTATAAAGTCTATATTGATCTCGTAGTCAGGTTGAAGTAAAATATGTTCAGAAATCACTATACTCAGACATATGACATATTTATATGTTAAAATAAAAATGTCATTTTTTATATAAAATCGATGCGATTTTTATCAATGCCTTTTTTTTTATTTTAAGGATTGGCGTGCTCGTCACGAACAACGTCTGCAATATAGAACACAAATTCAAACTTTTCTCAAAGATGCTGAAATTACATTAGCTCGTTTCCACTCGGATATAACAAAATCGTTGGAGAAAATAACTATTAGAGAACAATACATTAATACAAATATACAAGAACACTTTCAAGATTTTCAACGACAACAAGATATTTTAACTCAAGCGAAATTACAGTATAGACAATGTTCGAGTGGGATCACTGAAAAATCACAAGAATTACAAAATGTAAGTGATATTTCACTATACAAAGATCAGAATTACATTAATTGTTACTTATTTGTTTTTATTATTTTAGTTAATGTCTGATTTGCGCCAGATTCGCGAAGAGATGGGAGAAACTACCCAAAACGCAACTGATGGAGGTACGTGAAATGCAATTAAGTAATATTTTCTCACTAGTGTTCGCTTATGTTTTGGTTATTTTTAGGTCCATTAGTTAAAATTAAGAAAGCTATCGAAGAATTAACCAAAGATATTAATCGTGTTGAAATACAGATTGCTTTTTTAGAGCATACATTAATGCAATCTGAAGTGAGAGAAAAAGGAGAATATAACGACCAGTGACAAGATAATTTATTATACCTGATTTTAAAACAATATATTGTACGAATCACTAATTTGAACTTTTTAATCACTTTGTTATTTAACATTGTATTTTCAATACTAAGTACATATTTAAACAAAAAAAACTACAAGTATGTCAGATCGAATGGTTTCTGGGCAGAGGACACTACAACGATGTAATACGATAATCTTTTTAATGTTTGCAAAAAAGAAAAATGCTATATTTCAAAACGTTTGTTATACAAGAAAGAAATAAGAAATATTATACGAAAATATTATAACAAACATTTTTTTATTATCTTTTCTCTTTGTTTTGAACAAAAGTACACAAAAAAATACCCGAAAAGTTTAATAAACTAGTAATTTAAACTAATAAATTATAGAAAAAAATCGGGATAAATTTCAACAATTTTCAATGTATTCTCGAAAGTTCTTCAATAATTTTGACAAGTTCTTCGACTGTCGTATGTAATTCTACATTATTTTCACCCTAAAATAAATAAACATTATTCTTTTATATATATATAAGACAAGACACGAGAAGACGAGTACATACTCTTAAATCTCGAATTAATTCTTGTTTCATATCTTTTGGTAAATCAAGATAAAGTTCAATTAAATCACCATCAACAAAACCACATGAAGCATCTGAACGTATTTCTGCTTCAAAAGCACGCCAAGTACCATGATCAATTTTTCCTACACTGGGAAGTTTCGCTAATTGTAATTGTAAAGACATTAATATTTGATATAATTGAGGTGTCAATTGTAACAACAATCCAATGTAGCCAGATATTCCTGCCATTAATATACATGATTGCAACGAAATACTATATTCAGCTGTTTGTTGAGCAACTAAACAGCCTAGAAAACAAATATAATCACAGATTAGAACTATTTTTCGTACAAATCTCATTAGCACAAGACTCAGACTTCTCATCACGTACAATAATTTAGTTAAATTCTAAACATCACAGTGGAATAGTTGTTAAATCAACGTTCTATAGGAATAAGCAAGTTTTCGATACTTTACTGGTTGTTACTGCCATCGGTAACTAGATAAACAGTTCTCATTGAAGTAACGGGAACTGTTTTTCCCATTACCATCGGAAATCAGTTAGTTAACTCTATGGAATATTTATTAAAATATGTATTTTTATTTTTAAATATGTGAGTCATATCCAAGTAGCACTATAGGATATAATTGAACGTTATGGTAGTGGTATACAAAGACAAAGGAGAACATAATGAAAGCCCAGAATTCCGTGATGTGTTCTTCCATAAGTTTTTGGAAGACCTGGTTTCCACTAAGTCACATTACCATCTCTCGATCGAGTCCAAATTTTTATCGCAGGTACTCTACAGATCAGAACCCATACCAGATTCAATATTTTTTCGAGAAATATACTTTCCTTCTTGAGATATTCGAAAAATGTCCGTTCTAAAACGTCGGTTTACGGCTTTAAGAACTTTTTCATGATGAAAGCTGAAAACTTGAAGGTAGAGCAGTACGAAAGAACGAAGAGAAATTTGAGTATAAAACTGCTGCAAAGAACATAGTGATATTTTTGTACAAAATTTAATTTATTGTTGATTAATTTTCGAGCTTTCGATGTACATCTTACATCATGAGCAGGAAAATAACATGAATTGGAAAAATTAACAGTATATATACATAGTGTAAATGTGACTAGAAACAATAGTAGCGAAACGAAAGAAAGAATATATTTGTAATATATAATATTTGAACAGAAGAAAACGAAGAATAGGATCGATCGTATGTTCGAAGAACACTTGCCTCTGGACGAATAAATTTGCCTTTTAATAAGGACAGACATGAGCTTCATCCAAAAATCTTAAGTTTATATTTAACATCATTAATTGATTTGCCATGGTTTGTGTATATAAATAAACTTTCCTTTATCGTACGTTGTTTCCAATTTATTTCTTGCGATAACGTTTCGACATCACTGAAATCGAATTGATGTTGATAATTTAATGCATGTTATGTCACTGTCGATGTCTATATCATATTACGAATGTCTGCTTCATGTTCGCTTATACGCTTGGATCTATATCAGCTAGTTTTTTCCATGCTTTGTAGCAGATTTTGCATGGGTAAACATATGCTCGATTATATTCTTCGTTTTCTTTTGTTCAAATAAAAGTGATATTCTTTCTTTCGTTTCGCTACTATTGTTGCTACTATTATTTCTAGTCACATTTACACTATGTGTATATATACTGTTAATTTTTCCAATTCATGTCATTTTCCTGCTCACGAAAAGCTCGAAAATTAATCAACAATAAATTAGATTTTGTACAAAAAATCTCATTACGAAAGCTGAAGTTGAAAACGCTTTGTAAAACATTAAAACCTGAGATCGGGTCGGAAGTAGCTCTGGTAAGAATTTGAGCTCGATCGGATCATTTATTCGACAGATAGTATGGCGACTGGTTTGAAACCGCCATTTTGTTTCGAGTATTACAGACGACGTTAAATCGGTCACTTTTTGCAGGGTATTAGCGACGATGCTTAGATCTCTAAAAGGAAAATTTCAGAAGTGGTCTCATTATGAAGAGAAGACTGATCTACGAGACTAAGTTGAAGAAAACAATTTTGAAAGGCACTGGAAATAACAAAAATTACAAAGATTCATGTCTTTCAGCCTCTGAAGTAAAACCTTAACAGAATTTAGCTTTTGCAGAAAAGGGTCCTGAGATGTTGGGAGTGGTCTTATTTTTCAGCTCAAACTTGCCTCTATATTAGACTACGTTCAACTCAAAAGAAACGTGCTGTCAAAAAAGAGAGAAGCATGGGTACCCTTAACTACATTACTATCCTGAAAACACCATCCTTTGACCAATTTAGACAGATAATCAATATAAGCCTAGTGTGCATAATTATGAGAAAGACAAAACGACTAAGAGATCAAAAAAATAGCTATCATATAGAGTTAACTAATCTTCAGTTGACATTCAATTAACGTAATGAGAACTTTCTCACTCCTAGTCTTAGTCTTCTCTTCCAGAAAAAAACAAATTTTTAGAAAGTGGACATCATACCAGGTCGAAATACATTGATACTTTCTCCAAGATGAAAAAATCCAAGTTCTTTTAATTGTTTTCTTTCTGATTCTTTTGTTGAACCACTGTCTTTATGACACGATATCAAATTTGAAGCATCTTCTGAACAAACAAACGTATCATCATCGATCACTTCACAAGCCATAGTCCATTGTGGATGAACGTCGTGAGCAATCTAGAAACTCAACAAAACATGTATATATATTAAAAAATGAAGAGAAATTAGTCATCTATTCGAAACTCATCAGTTGAAATACGGATCTGTCGAAATTAACATATTTAGTAAATAATATCGATTTGTTTATATAATTACCTCTTCAAATTTATTTTCGACCAGATTATAACGTAGAACAGTAAGTGATTTCATTAGATCACAAAAAAGTACAAAATCATCTTTTATTTTTATTTGTAATGTTTCAACATGTCCCAAATATTGAGTGGTTAATACTAATTCTTGCTTGTCTGGTGAAAAGTTGTATAATCTGATCTAAAATAGGATAAACTTTTATACAGCTGACAATATTTATTGTTGAACTTACCGAATTTCCAATGCCAACAATAAGTTTTCCGCTAAATTTTGCCATTGTATGTGGTGTAGCATTAACATCTTTTTCACTAACAAAATTAATTTTACCATCATTATAACGAAATACTAATAGACGACCTATTTTTGGTTCTGGTTCATCTTCGTAAACTAATGCCGTACCAACAACAATATACGCTACATTCATATCATCAACAAAATTCAATACACATACACTGCATGCTTCTTCATGACTCAACAATTTTATAGAAACACGTGCTAGAAATAAAAAAGCAGAGATATTTTAAACTGAAAAAAATTATCAACATTTTCTCTACGAGAAAATATTCATTATGAAGAATTTTGTATAACTTACTTTTTGTACATGTACTTAGGGCATACCAAAAGTAACGAGATTTGCAGGTAAAACCTCATAGACTAGAGGTAATCAAGTTTTCACTTCAGAAAATTTGAGCTAGTAAACATGATTATCCACGCATAATAAATTTGTTTTAAGACATTTGCTGAAAGTTTTTTTCCAATCATCTTTGATTGAAAAATTCATCACTTTTGTTGCAGTACTCAATGCAGTGATTAAAGGTCGTTTGATCTCTTAAGCTTATGAATTAGATGAAACACCTGAAAACCCCGTAGTATTGGACCCGTAGAATATAAAATATTTAGATACGTTTTGATGCGAGATACTAAAAAACAGCTTTGTGAATATACGGTTGAACGTTGTCATAATGACTTTTGATGTTCGAAACACTATCTGATGATCTTTGCAGTTTCCCTCCCTTGATAAGTAGTTTTAGGGAATTTTTGATATAATATTGTTGATTAGATATTTGCTCTCTTCTCGTATGTGTCTATTGTTTAAGAGTATTTGGCTAGTTAGTTTGAGAAAAGGCAGGAACACATTGTTGTGAGACTAACTTGTTACGTCAAACTGTAATCGGTAGAGATTCCTCTCTTGCAATTCTTCTAATTCGAAGATTTTGCGTAGGTAATCATGTCTATTAGCTCAAATACTTTCTGAAGTGAAAACTTGATTACCTCTAGTCTTTACTTGCAAATCTCGTTACTTTAGGTATGCTCCAGGTAATAAACTTCTTAATGTATTTTGACAACAATAGAGAAAAATAGCCCGTGGCAGTCCAATTACACACCTTCAAGTGTATGTTGATCAAGAATAACGACATGATCTTGTTGATCGCACGGCTGTTGTGTTTTTTCTTCGATAGTTTTGATTTTTGTCGGACAATCAACTGAATTCTGTGCATGTCGACTTATTGGTATTATTCGAGCTGATTGAAATAATTCTGATGATTGTGTTAATATAACATATGCTTTTTCTTCTTCATAATAAGCTATACGTCTAGAAAGAAAGAAGTTAATACAAATAAATATCCATGAATATATTGACAAAATAGATTTTATTTACTTTGCAGGTTCTCCTAAATTGATTGTTCGTACATGTAATTTTTGCATATCATCAATTTTTCCGATAACTACTCCATTTTCTGTTACTAATGTTAAAGTTGGACCATATAATTCTGAATTAAATGAACACATAGACGTTACTTCACGTAAATTGACGCATGAAAAAACAAGTTTTTGATTTGATGAATAAATAACAGATGGACGATCACTACAAGCAAATAAAACTGTTCGTTGTGTTGAATGTGATGAATCATTTGGTGATGTTTCATTTCGACAAAGTGTTAATGTAGTGGGTTTTGTACCAAGTGATACTTTTTTTCGTTCATACAATAGACCTAAGAGGAAAAACTATTCGTTAATTTTACACGTACAACTATTATTAATCGTACCTTGTTCTACATCGAGTAGATAATAAATAATAGGTCCATCAGCTAGAGAAACAACAACGTATGGTATAGAATCAAATGACACCATAACAACAGTACGAGGGAGTGTATCTAAACAAAAATATAAGCAAACATTTGATATTTTCATCTAAAAATACACATCTCAGTAACTCCGAAATGTGGACTATATTTATTCATAGGAGAGATTATCATTCAAAAGAGAACATATACCATTTGTTAGTGGTTCTTTATGTTGAACTTGCAGCGTAGGTAAACGTAATGTCCAAACAGAAATGTGTGTCCATAAACCAATAACACATAAATTTGATCGTTCTTCATTGTAATTTATTGGTGTTATATCCATACAAGAAACATTATAAGGCAGTGTACATTGACTAAATGTAAAAACAAAATTTATAAAATTTTATCAAATATCAATTAAAATCATTCTCACTTCACTTCACTAAAACTGGCACATCCAATTTCATAATAATATAATTTATTTCCATTGGCACACAAACATTGTGTAGAATTACATGTGGCAACAGTTATTTCATCATTTGTATTTGGATTTTTCCATTCAACGACTAAATCTTTTCCATTATTTCCAATTAAACGTATCGAATGTGTTGTTATCTACAAAATACAAAATGAATTAAAAAATATTATACTCTTATTTACATTGATTTCTTAATTTTTACTTGAAGTATTTGATCAGAGATAACATTTGAACATAATAGTGTTTGATGTTGAAAATCAAATCCAGATAATTCAACTTCTTCAATTTCATCATTTTGTAAATAAAACATTCTATTATCAAAAAAGAGTATCAGAATTAAATATATCATAAATTTGATATCACCGTCAGACTACCTTGTTTGTTCGAAAAAGGAGACGATTAAATAATTATCCCATCGACTAGCAATTTTTAATGACCAAATACCTAAAAAAATAGTCAAATGTTATTTAAGCATAAGTGATCCCATCTGTCATAAACCTGACTTAAATAAAAACCACATTCGCATCAGCTTATAAATGGGTGAGAAAAAAGGGTAACTTGACCAGGGATATCAGATTCAAAACATGAAAATCAGAAAAGAAAAGTTCAAAATCAGAAAAAACTCAAAAAAAGAAATTTAAAATCAGAAAACCAGAGGATATTAGCAGAAACAAGAACAGAAACAAATCCAAAAATCAAAATTTTTCTGCCGAAATCAGAAGATCTGGTATCCCTGAACTTGACCGTCCGTAAATAAATCACTATTGAGTCAAATGCAAAGATAGGCAAGTCCGGTGTTTTCCAGTTCTAGTTAAGTTCAATCCCGGTAGAGGCTAAGTCCGAATCAGTTCCAGTCCGTTCTTCAGCTAAAATTCATCAGTCTCAGTCTACTAAGCTTTAAGTCCGATGTCAGCCCCAGCATACATTATTTTTTATTTCTGTTTTTTCATCAGGAAGACATTGTTTCTTTACATGACCATAGTAACAAAATGCGAAAATAACAAAACTTTCTGTGAATATTAAAAACCAAGAACAAGAGAGGACATTTGTTTCCTTTTATTATACGAAAATGAAAAGAAAAGTCTAATTCATAAGAGAAAAGTTACATTTGAGTAAAGTAAGACGTGAGAGGGTTTTTCTCGTCATTTTTGACCGGTATGGTCGTATAAGAAAACTGGATTGAGAGAACACTCTCTCAATCGGTATCGAAGTGCTGGTCACATATAGTATCTTTGTTGCTAGCGTACTCAACATCGGATACAGAGAAGATTTATCGAAAATTAAATTACTATTTATATCTTCTTTCAAATAACTCAAAATTTCCTCAGCAATATCATTGTCCAGTATTACTACAGAACTTTTTTGTTGTTTTAGACAAATGGGCGTTTAGTGCAAAGAAATGAATCAATCAGTAAAAAAAAGAAAACAACAGTCGTCTTTTGATCACAGCCAACCTTAACTGACCACGCGATAACATCAAAGAGTTAGAAAAGTAAACAGATTTGAACTGGAAAGTCCAGTCACAACTGTGATGAAACAACAACTCAAGTCTCTCATGTCTTCAGTTCCAGTCCAATCACAGTCCGTATGAAAAAATTTGTCAGTCTGAACTTGTTCATCTCTGAGTCAAATGATATATACCTTTTATATTTCTAAGATCAATTGACGCATGTTCATGTATGCCAATTCCTGTTCGTATTACACGCAATGATGAATCTTTTGCATAACCAGAACATGTGACCAACTTAAAAAATTGAAAAAAAGTAAATTACTATCAATAATAAAAATGTGAACACGATCTACATACTTGACGGCCTTGTCTTTCAAGATCAACAACACACATATCGACTATCGGTCCTAAATTTGTATAAGATTCCAAAATTTCTAAATGAATACCATTTCGAGGCTCCGGCAATAACTGATAATTGATAAAAAAAAAATAATGCATTTTAGACTAAAAATTGTAGAACAATAACAAAAGATTTATACTCGAATTAATTGACTATCACCAAATCGTGAGCCAATAAATGCAACACCATTATCCAAATATGTTATATTTTCTGCAATTGACGTTTCACCGAGCAAATCTAACTGAAGAAAGTGAATATGATCGAATACGAAACTCTTTAGTGCAAAATGTAACGAAATTTACTTTCATATCTGCAACCATTGTACTTCCATTTCGTTTATCACGTTCCAAAACAAGTAAATATAACTTTCCACACCAATCTGTCAACAAATATCGACAACCATTTTCATCTATTGGACAATAACCAATAATGCCCGTAATTTCCTAACAAAAAAAGTTTCTTCATCTAATTAGGAAATTAGTTGAATAGTACGAATTTTAATTTTTTATCTTACATCATGTAATAATGCTGATTCAAGTTCTAATGGGCGATCATTTTCCTTGTATAATACAATAGAATTTCGTCCAATGACAATACAACTATCGACTCCAACTAGAATCATAAAGAAGAATAGATTAAATATGAAGTAATTTTGACGTAATTTATACTCCATCATCTACCAGGTATCAAAATTGCTGGCTCTGATATGGTTATTTCTTGTTTCCACTGTGTTTTTGTTATATCTTTTTCTTTTATTTCAACTTGATATGTTTTTAGATAAGATTCACTATTTTGTTGATTTTCAGACTCAGGAGAACGCTACAAAGAGATAACAACAATAAAAAATTTCTTAAAATTTAATTTTAATACACACTGAATGTATTAAGACAAATATTGGTTTTTGATGTCCGGGTAAAAATTGTAAATCAATTATATTTTGTTCTTCAACTCTAAAAAAACAGAATTATACACATGAAAGTTCTCTCTAAGTTGAAAACAACATACTTGACATTATGAGCTTCTAATGTTCTTGATGATTCTTTAGTCGAATCTTTAAGATAAATTAACTTCAAAACTCCTTCAACTATTCGTAAAACAATAATTCCATGTTTTCCATCTATTGCACATAATGTGGCTCGTGTTGATTGTCGTCCAGCATCCTAGAAAAAATTGAATATAATTTAGAATAAACAGCTATCTTCTCTTATCAGTAACAAAAAAAACAAAATATCCGCCTAGAAGACAATAGTTTCAGTCATATTTTTGAATTTATTATGAATATACAAATACATTTTAGAAAAATAATTATATATTTTGATAGCGCTCGAAGCTCTCTACTAGTCTCTGCTTTCCCCGTCTGGATTCGAAATTATTTGCTAGCAAACATTTTGAATATTGTTAATACCCTTCCCCACCACCACCTACCGCATTCTCAGGAATTGTAACGGGTACAGCCTCTCAGTATTTTCTATTGTTCTCGGGTTTCTTTAGGGCTCAAAGGTTAATGTTTTTTCTAAAAAGATGCAAAGATGCATACAAAACCATACCTAAACTTTAATTTCAGAACTTCAATGAAGAAAACTACGAAGATTATACGAAGGAGGAAAAAAAATGAAAACTGAAAATCTGGTATTTTTTTCCACTTGAACCTTTTTCTAAAAGAACGTTTCTGTAAAAAAGGGTCGCAAAAGTTAGGTAAAGAAGAATAATCATTTCTGATCAAAAGAGAATAAACGCAGTCGAAAAATCTTTTGTGTTGAGAGAGTTATAGAACTTGTACTAAAAGCACCACTATACATAAAATTTAAAAAATTGATGAAAAATTGCTTGTCAACAGATAGAAAAATCATGATTTTTCCAGAAGTTTTGATGTGAAAAAATTTGAAGTATAGCTAAAAGATAGAGTGAAGTCGGGGGTAAGAAATGACTAATTCAGTTTTTCTGACTTTCACATGAAATTGTTTTTATTTTACAAAGTTTTCATTTTTTTCGTCTTTCGTATAATCTTCGTAGTTGTCTTCGTTGAAGTTCTGAAATTAAAGTTTAGGTATGGTTTTGTATGCATCTTTGCATCTTTTTAGAAAAAACATTAACCTTTGAGCCCTAAAGAAACCCGAGAACAATAGAAAATACTGAGAGGCTGCACCCGTTACAATTCCTGAGAATGCGGTAGGTGGTGGGGAAGGGTATTAACAATATTCAAAATGTTTGCTAGCAAATAATTTCGAATCCAGACGGGGAAAGCAGAGACTAGTAGAGAGCTTCGAGCACTATCAAAATATATAATTATTTTTCTAAAATGTATTTGTATATTCATAATAAATTCAAAAATATGACTGAAACTATTGTTTTCCAGAAGGACATATATATAAGAAAGAATATTGTAGAATGCTTGCTTCTCATATAAATAAACATTCCAATCGTAATTAATTTTCATTCGTACTTTTAAATAGCCATGACATTTTGTTAATATATCGTATTGATCATTGTCAGTTTTTTTACAATCTAATATCATACCATGATGTTTTTCTGTATATATGAATAGAACATCTTTATTTGAATGCTACAAAGAAAACAATAGAATTGAATTTATTCATGATGTTTTCTTAAAATATAAAACTAATATTTACCGGTTGACGAAAACATTTCATTATTGTAATACGACCATATATACAAACATCTTTGACTAGTTTTAAACCTTCGGACGATATTAGATAAATTTCAAAATGTGTATTTTTCGCTACTAATAAATTTAAATCGGTTGCACTTGTAAAATGGCCAGTTGTAACAGTAGTGACTACTGTTGGACGTTGAACAGTAACAACATAGTTAGTAGCTGCCATGTAGAAAAGAATTAGACCACTTTTTCAAGCAATTAATAGAACTAAAAAGAGAAAAATTTCTTCTTCTAATGTACTATAAATTGACTGCATTTTAAAAAATGATAATAGAAAAATGATTATATGCATTTACTCTGCTATAACTAAACTAGTATTTGCTGAAAACCTTCGAACTTCAGACAATGTTACAATTTCTATTTTCTCTCCTATCTTGAGAAAATTATAAAAATTCGTATGATGATGTAAAACATATTTTCTGTACAGTATATAAACAGTCGATATTAAACTCTAAATATGAAATCTAAAAATTAGCTAACAGTACAAGACGCATGGTACTCTTTGCTCTTCATCGTTTTTATTCTTCAATTTTAACAGTGACAAAAATTTTCGTCTGCATACAAGATAGTGGAAATAACAAAACAATAATTAAAAACAAATAACGATTTATTTTTGAAAAATATTTAATTATAAAAAAGTTAATTTGACATTCGAACTTTCTAGATAGATAAAACTTCAATAGTGATTATTTTATTTACGATTTGTAAAATAGAAACCCGTTTTCTTGTATGTTCTTCTCGTTTTCGAGTGACAAAGTTTCGTTTCGAGTACTCTCGAGTCATATCTGCTTGTCGATTAGTATAAGTGATTTGCTTTCGTATTTGACTAATAAAAAAAGATGAAAAAATGTAAACACCAAAAAGCATACTTTCTAATAAGTGAGAAACTACGTCAAACAAGCTGAATTAAATATGACTTAAAGGTTTTTTTCTGATCATTCGATTTGTACAAATTAAAATAAAAACAGAAGTTAAAGAATCGATCAAGATCATCTTTGAATTGTTTAAGACTTCATATTAAATTTAATCTCTTCTTTTTCTTTCTTTTTTAGCTTGAATAAGAACACGAACTAGGAATAAAGAAAGATATCTATAGAAATTATATATTTTGCCAAAGAATAGTCCCAGTTGAGACCATGTTTTTCATTGAAAGTTATGATAATAGAATGAGTTCACTCTCACTCTCACATTATATATTTTGCCGAAGAAAATAGTATCACGCTTTGAATATGAACAAGAGCATGGATTTTCTATCGCTGTTAACATAAGGTGAGCATTTTCGTAATAGTTTATGTATCTCTGGTACATTCTCAAACATTCCATCTTCCTCTACTTTTATAATGCTTTTTTTTGTTCATTTTGTCTTTGCATAACGATACCCTGAATGAGATGTGCGGTAAAGAGATCACCTTATGCCGTATAAAAAAAGATATTCTATGCTTTTTAGTTGTGTCCTATAACGAATTTATTGGCTGATTTTAATGTGTGATTTAAATGTGATTGGCTGATTTCGATATGTAATCATATAACTGAATATAAGATGTCAGAAAGAGAAGATAACAAGTAAATAACTAGAGGTCGATGCATTACGAGTCAAATTTAAACAAACAGACACTATCGAGAACACAATGAAAAATTAACAGACAACAAGAAACAAAACAAAAATAAAACAATACAGCAAGAAAAGCAAATAACTAACTATTCATCAGAAAGAACGGTATAAAGTTCTTGAATTTAGATGATAAGATAATGAAAGCAGAAAGCTTAATTTTAGAATCGGATTAGATAATATTAAGTTACAACAAATATGTCAATATAATTAATTAATGTCTGACTCTTGTCTGTGTGTGTGTACGCTCAAAATACGGAAAAATGGCTGTTAGATATTCTATGGATAGACCGATCGTAAGTGAGGAAAATAGAATTTTTTTTCTAACCACGAGAGAGAAAAAATATTTATAGAGATTACTTGCAATATGAACTAATGAAGAAACAAAAACGACTAGGGAAGCTTTTTTTGTAGTGACATTCAGGAGAGAGCTGTCATCAGAAATCAATCAGTTTTGTGACACACAAAAAGTCGTGTATGGATAATAAACGTTACAGAATATTGATAGTCTATCGTAGCGAATCGATTAAAAATACTTTCAGCCCATTTGGGACCCTTAAAGCTTATTCGGAAAACGTTTTAGCTTTATATTGCATTGCGCGGTTTTTCCGTAAAATCCGAGAAGTTCACAACATTTCTCAGCTATCCTGGCGGCTACCGCCCATCAAAAGGAGGCTTGAGCATTGTCTTGAATCTTGAGCCACTTTCTACGTCTACGTAGTAAGTGGCTCCTGTCGGGTAGCGGAAAACGACCAACTTGAATCAGAGAAGAATTCACAACATATTTTAGATAGCGCCCTAGCGAACGCCAGCCGAAGCAAGGTGCGAATGTTGCCTTGGTTTCTAAAGTCATGGAAGCCAGTTCGCAGGTAGGACTTCCTAAAGTCAAGGAATAGTGCGAGTGCAGACAAACGTTACCTTGTTTCTTAATTCAAATAAGTGGTATATATGATTGGACAATGCATTTTCAACTAAAACTATCAAACTTCTATGATTCGTTCATGGCTCATTTGAAAGAGAAATTTTTACTCTATAAGATCATGGGCAAATTCATCTGAAATGTCCCATCAATACAGCAACTTTCTCCGCTTCATTTAAGACCAATCTAGTTTTATAGAGCACATCAAATTACGTTAGAAACTGTTTTTTTTGACTTCATAGCTGATGCAGAACCCGAGAAAAATGACTTTTACTCTCCCAGCAAAATTATCGGATTTGGCGC